GGCGAGGAGCAGGTATGAATGGCACGGCGGGCGAAGCGGGCTACGGACCGCCGATAAGACATCACCCACCAACTGCTCTCTCACCGCCTTGAATTCCTGGGTGAATTCACAGACAGTGTCGCCGAACCTGGCTGGGGATATGGGGAAGTCAAGAAAGCGGACTTTGTCGACTTTGCGCATATCAGCCAGGGGTGGCGCTCCTGGACCACTAATGTGGACATCGTCCTCCCCAACGCACACGCAGCGGACTCAGTAGTCCGAAGAGCTAAGTCGGCGGCGGTGCGAAGCTCGTAAGCCTGGGTTGGACCCACCCTCGTGCAGCTCGGCCAGCGCCTGCGCTTGGTAGCGCTGGTAGGTGGCTATCGCATGCAAGGCGGAAGCAGCCTGGCCCGCAGCTATGTAAGCTCTAGCTCCGAGGGAGGTAGATAACTTACAGGCTTTGGATGGGAGACGAGGCGGACCCCGCCAAGAAGAGGCGCCGCGCGGATTACCGCCATCGCGCACTCAACCTGAGGAATCGCCACATACCCCCTGGCTGTTTCACCGTCAAGAGTGGTTAGGGTGGAGGAACACGCAGCACGAGCAGAAAAATGTGCTTTACAAGACCGCGTGAGCCTACTGTGCACCTCCGGGAAGAAGGGAACGCCCCTCTAGTCGGTCCGGCCGCGGAGCTGGGGGATAAACCATCTCCAACCCACGGCCGAAGCAGCCCGGGAAAGCACGGCTAACATGTCTGTTTCAGGATCCGTAGTGACAGCGCTCACCAGCCCGAAGGGGGCGAGCGGGTCTGGATCATCATCGGACAATGAAAGCCCACCCTCCGATGCCGCGGTGGACATCTGGTCTCCGGTGTCATCGGGCGTAAGGGCTACCATCTGTTAGACGGATCGCTTCCCCCGCCCGAAGCTTGGATAGAGCACTTAGAGGAGCGGGAGGTCCGCGGGCCCGTGGGCGACGGATTATCTCTCGCTGAAACCCTCAGATCTGCCCGAGTGCCCGCTGCAGAGCAGGGGACAACTGGGGTGGTTCACCCTTTTGCAAAGGCTAACCGCGATCTTGCGCAACAGTCATGGCATCGCAATGACGACATGAACTGCCCGCGAGCAGCGCATTAACATGCTGGACCCCCAGACATGCAACGCAGTGCCCGCGTCCATCATCCGAGGACAGGAAACCACCGCATCCAGAAACGCACAGTCGGAGCGCCGTCCTGATAAGGACGTGCTGCACGACTGTGTTGCTCTTTCTGTGAAGTTTGCAACTTTATACGCACCGCTCTGGAGGACCGGACCCAAAGAACGCCAGGCAAGGGAGAAACCCAGCTCGACCGTCTGCCACTGCATGTACACACTCTGGACCGGAAGAATGCTCTCGTTCGCTCAGAATCGCTGGTCACAGCAGGAGGAACCCTCATCGACTCGATCAGAAAGTCTCTGAAGCGAAAAGGATAGCGTCTGCTGGCGCCAGGTGAGCTTATATACTCAGTTGATTGCTTATGCCGCTCACCTGCGCAGGCTTGCGCTGCCAATTCATTCTTAATTGGCCCGTTCAATACTCTTTCAGACGAGTAGCTTCTGAACCGAACCTCCCAATGCGTGGATTTTACAATCAAATCCACTTATAGTGCTGAAGTTCCCCCCGAAGGAGAACAACAAATCTGTCACCATATGAACTACAACTCCCTTCAGGCACCATACACACACACCTGTCCAGGTTCTCCATTGGTTACACACATACACATAGCTGATAGCTACTCAAGACTGATTACATGAGCCATATAAACAGCACACACACTCACAGACATTGCTGAGTCTTGTCGGTACATACCCTGTAACATTATGAAGCGTTTTCCATGTTTAGTCTCTTGGTGTTTTAACCCTGCTGCCTGTTTCAACCATTTGTCTGTTATCTGACTAGACTGCTTTCCCTGTTTGTCACAGTTTGCTCCTGATTGTGACCATTTCCTGACTGACCACTCTCTGTTTAATAAAGTACTGCATGTGGATCCTCAACTTCGGTGTCAGCATCCTTCAGTTGCAATTAAGAAAGAAAAAAAAAATTACAAACTCAAAATTTTACACATTTTTAGTTTCGCTTGAATTTTGCTTTTTTTATTTCATATTTCTCCCTAACATATACATTCCGGTGTACGAATTTTGGACTGATATCATAAGTTATTTTGTTAGATTAGATTTGGCTTAAGTACTGACTGATCTAATGTACAGTATTTGCACAAATATAATATTTGTAAAGCTTCCTATAAAAAAATATTAATTTAAATGAGAGATGTATTAGGGGTATACTCATATAGGTTGAGCACTGTATACAGAAGTCAAGAACAGAGTAATTGTACCAAAAAGTTTTTAATGTTATATTTTTTTTCTGTCTAGATTTGTCTTTCTTTCTTGTCTCATTTTGCAGTTTTTGTAGTTGATAGCAATCCCATAATATATTACAATTTGAATACCATAGCAAACTTTTATTTAAGTAAATAGTTGTCCAACAAATAGAAATGCTGTATTTCTTAATTAAAAGAATGTAGCTTTTAAGTATTTTCCAATTAAGTAAGTAAGCACAACATCAAGTGATCATTCACATAAACAGTCAGTGAGTGAGTGGTCTGCTCTTTATCGTGCCAATGTTTTCTGATTAATGCTGTCAGCATTATAGACAGCAGCAGCTCTATTAGACTTTATTTACAGTGCGAGCTCTAATGCATACATCCATTGCTTTTGTACTGCCTGTGTACATTTACTTAAAACATATCTGACTGTGTTTACATTAACATCTCCCCCAGACTGCCTTTTTAGCAAAAAAAAGAAATTTAAAAAAAAAAGGTGCGTTTGAATGCAAGGTACAATTACTCTTTGCAGGCTGAATGTGCAAATAAAAATGAAAGTACAGCTATTTTTATCAACTCCACAACCTGCTTGAATGGTGCACACCAGTAGTTCTCAACCACTATGTGGACTCAGGAAAAAGGGCCTAAATATAATTTCATATATAATTTCAAGGAGTACTTTTATATCCTTTTAAGAAGATACAACATAAGCATATACTGTAATAGCTCACATCCTTTATTACTACCATAGCAATGTCTCTTTAAATGCAAATGAGCTGCTGCTCCCCACCCCTTTTCCAGAAAAGGACGATGCCTTTACAGCTTAAAACTTGATTACTCAGGAAATGACAATAAACAAAACAACTGCATGCTTTTTAAAGTCTTGTCAGTTTTAACTACCAACTTACAGGCTGCGTCTGAAATCGCCCACTACTCATTAGTTACTGCATTTGAATTTACTACTCGACCATTTGAAAAGTATTTTCTATATGGTATGAATGAGAGTAGTATCCCAGCAAACACGCAATGTCATATTGGGTTAGATTAAGGTTGCCAGCATCTAAGCACAATGTTATTCTGACATCCAATAACAACGTGAAATGACATTGATATTTGGTTGATTTTAGGTTGTTTTATAAAAAATGACCAAAATTCAACATCAAGCCAACATTTTAAACCAACAGGTATGGCAACCAAAATCCAACGCCTAATAGACGTCATAGTGGTAACAGCCACACAACATCAAACATTGAATAGTAACCAAAATGCATTATCTGACGTTGGACATTGACGTAGACCTGATGTTGGGTTCTGACGTCAACATCATTTTCATTTTCAACCAAAAAGCAAAATCCTACGATGTTGGGGTACAACGTCAATCTGATGTCATGTTGACCTCCTGTGCCTGCTGGGATGAATGGAAAACGGACATACTATATCCGCCGTTTTGTCATTATCACATGACCACAACATTGTGTCACTTCACTCCCATTCACAAATTCTCCCATGGTGTGTTATGGGATAAGGTAGTATCCATCAGATGCGCATTTCAGAATCTCGCCGGAAGTATTAGGTCATCCGGGTAACTTCTCGCATACTGGTTTTCAAATTCTATGAAATCGGACAAACTACTTGGCTCACATACTGTTTTTCGTGTACTAAATAGTATGGAAGTATGCCATTGCGGACACAGCCAGTTCTTTTGAGCCCACAGACACAAGCCCTTGCACTAGAAGTTGTCATTTGACTTGTTGCATGAGTAAGGAACTACATTCTCTTTTGTGACAGCTTTAAAATGTACATAAAAGCATGTCAACATGACACAAATATATAAATTCATATAATGTTGGTTAAGTCTGTGAATGTAGACAGTTGTAAAAAGATATTCGTGTGTATTAGTAAATTATATATATATATATATATATATATATATATATATATATATATATATATATATATATATATATATATATATTTTTTTTTTTTTTTTTTTTTTTGGCAAACCAAGATTTCCAGTCATGAAAAACATTAGTAGTAAAAAAGTAAAATTTCTTGACATGAAAAACTAGCACCAGCTGTGCTACATCCACATGGTTGACCAGCTATGCTAATAGAGAAGACTCCAGATCCAGATCTGTTTTTACATTACTGTGACGGTTGGGTTTAGGGTTGGGACGGTAGATGTTAATAAAATACAATTAATGAGAAATTTTATAAATAATCAAAATAATTCTTGCTAACTTCCGGTTGCAGCAGTATCTGATCTACAGCTGATTAACTATGTGGATGGATAGAGCCCATCAGTAGATGCAGAAGGCCCCTACTGGCCTATATCTATCAGCTGATAAAGCCCATTCAATCCAGTGATAACATTCAAATCGTCTGAAACTAGTCGAATTTTTATGAACAGAAACAAAATAATTAATTTGGATTTTAGTTTTGGTTTGGGGCCTTCAAACATTATTGTGGATGATGGGGGTCACTGGGGAGTCAAAACAGCTAGGTATCAGGTGTGAAAACTGAGGCTTAAGCCATTTTACTAGGGTCTTGGATTGCATAGAGGGCACCGCCTGTATAAAATAACAAACAGTGCACATTGATTGATTTCCATGCTCTCAGACACACACACACACATAATCCATGCGGTCACGCTTTATACCTCCACCAGCTGGTGCCAGTGTTCAATAGGCTTGCGGGGATTCGCCAGCATGGCTGTCCAGTGCTCTCTTCCCGGCCCATCAGCATCACTGCCCATACGGCACATCCCGATCACCTCATTATGACCGATACTGAGAGATGGAGAGAGAGAGAGAGAGAGAGAGAGAGAGAGAGAGAGTGGGAGGGGAAGAGAGTGAATTAATGCAGTTAGGCTTAGAAATGAAGGAGAACCACAGCACAGTGCATCCATTACCACAAATAGGCAGGAGAGCAAGAGAGAGAGAAAGCCACAAAAGAACACAAGGAGCAAGAAGGCAGAAAGTAACGAGATATAAAATTAAGCCTAATCCGCATCATGTAATTAGAAAGATACAGACAGGACCTTAGCGTCATATAGCAACCTGCCCATTAAGACACTCTCTCACACACACACACCACACACACACACTGAGAGTTTCCACATGCAGTCCTTTAATTACGCAGACACAGACTGAGAGATCACATAATTACACAGACAAACAGAGAACAGAAGGAGAGAGAGAGACAGAGGTACATTCCAATTATTGAATTACGAAGATAAACAAAATGAGGCGGGTGCACAGGGAAAGGACTCAATGATTTGAGCGAAAATTTGTCACAGAGGACAGATGGGTAGTTGTTTATGATAGGTCTACTGATTACCGAGATAAAAGAAACGAGAGAGAGAGAGGAGATGAGAAAAGAGGGAAAGGTGTCATAATCACTTAATTACTTGAAAAATTAGTATAAAAGTGGAATAACAAGCGGATACAATAAGCAGAGTAAATTTTTGACATATATTAAAACTATTAAAAGGTTAGCTCACCCAAAAATAATAATTACCTCATCATTTACTCAGCCTCATGTGGTTTTAAACCTTTATGAGTTTCTTTCTTCTGTTGAACACAAAGGAAGATATTTTAAAGAATTCTGGTTGCTTGCACTCATTGACTTCCAAAGTAAAAAAAAAAAAAACATGAAAGTCAACAGCCCGTTCACACATACAGACTTTTCCGGAAAATGGCTGGAAAAGGGATCATGTGCAAACAGGCCCTTTTTGAAAATACCGGTAAAATATAAATTCTTAGTGCCAACTGTGGAAAAAATGATCGATAAAATGCTTATAATAAACCACTGTGAGTTTACCTGCACTGAACTGCGTGACATGTGAGCATGTGATGAAGTGTCCTGTGAGTCAGATTTGAGTAGCCTACAACACTGGCAGTCTTTCGTTTTTAAAATGTAATCTCACAAGCTGCAGCACAAACTCAAGAGTACATCTCGGTATCCTAAAGTGTTCCTCCACATCTTGTCATCGATGTTGTTCACAATAGCTATTATTTAGTCCATCTCTGAGACAAAAGCACCTACATGAATGCAAGATATTTTAATAAAAGTAAAACCATGATGAAAATAACAGACCCCCTTCATGTTTAATACAAGCATGGCTGTTTAGAGCTTTTGGCTAATGATGTCAGAATTTACAGATATATTGGAATGAATGTGTGAATGGTCCTTTCCTGAAAATTCTGGAACGTCCTTCCCTGTGTGAACAGCACATATCTGAATTTACCGGTAAAGTTGTTCCAGAAATTTTCTTGATATTTACCGGTATCAGTGTGTGAAAGGGGCTAATGGGTGCCAGTAACCAGCATTCTTTAAAATATCTTCTTTTGAAAAAAAACTAAATATATTTTGAAAACGTCAAGGGTGAAATGATGACAAAATTTTCATGTCCATTTATTGTACATAGTTTTAAAAGTTTCTAGAAAGGTTGATAAAATGATGAATAAAGAAATATAGCAGTTTACGATATACAGTTGAAGTCAGAATTATTAGCCCCTGTTTGAATTTGTTTTCTCTTTTTTAAATATTTCCCAAATGATGTTTAACAGAGCACGGAAATTTACACAGTATGTCTGATAATATTTTTTCTTCTGGAGAAAGTCTTATATGTTTTAATTCGACTACAATAAAAGCAGTTCTTAATTTTTAAAAATAACATTTTCGGGACAAAATTATTAGCCCCTTCAAGCTATATTTTATTCCGATGGTCTACAGAACAAACCATCATTATACTCTAACCTGCCTAGTTAACCTAATGAACCTAGTTAAGCCTTTAAATGTCACTTTAAGCTGTATAGAAGTGTCTTGAAAAAGATCTAGTAAAATATTATTTACTGTCATCATGGCGAAGATAAAATAAATCGGTTATTAGAAATGAGTTAATAAAACTATAACATTTTTAAATGTGTTGAAAAAAATCTGCTCTCCATTAGACAGAAATTGAGAAAAAAAAACAGGGGGTCTAGTAATTCAGGGGGGTTAATAATTCTGATTTCAACTGTATATAAAAACTGCAAGTCAATGGCTGACAACAGTTTGAGAGCAAAAAATATAAAGATCTAGATAAGACAAAACAAAATTAATACATGTGGCCAATGTCCTAGTTCTACATTTTAGAAATCACTAAGGACCACAATTTAAATGAGTAAATTAACAACACATTTTCATTTTGGGGTAAACAAAATTAGCATGAACAGAGTCGACACAACATTCTACTTATTTACAGCTAACAGTTTTTTAAAAAGGTAGCTTGTCTCTACTTCTACAGTATTCTTTAAATTATGAGTAGTTTTTATCCAAGGGAGCTGCATTTGTAAAGTCGCTCCACTAACAATATCACTAAATCAAGAAAGAAACAGGTGCCAGCAGATTTATCTCCTGCATTTTCTGTAATGCCAAAATAAAGTCAGTCAAGAGGATTTAAAACAAAATACTGTATGTGTGCTGCAAACAGCCTGAAATCAAACAAATAACATCGGTTTTACCAAGCCGTCAGCACACCATGAACAACACTTCTTCATCTCCAACAAAAATAACTTGCACCTGCGCAACGACTTCCGCAGTAGCGCTGGTTTAAATACAGAAACAGTAAAACGGCATGTCAGATATATGTATAAAATGACTATTATCCGACAGATAGCGCTTCTGAATGGAGCGTTTAGCACAGATGGCATGCAGCAATGCTAAGAGCAATTCATCAGCCGTTATCTGTGGCTCACAGACGAGCAGCTTCATTAGGAGGGGCCGGTGGTGTGCCGCGTGCCATTGGGGAGAGATGGAATCACAGAGAGCAGCGACAAACACGCATTTGGGGAAAGTCGGATGTGGATTTCCTCAGCACAGAAAGCCATTCTTAAAATAGAAGCGTGATTTGTATGCACCTGATTTCCGCAAGGCATATTCTGTTCCACAAAAGCACACAAAACACAGCCATAAAAGTGGGATTAGATGGCACTACACACCGAGCAGTAGGTATACTTTTTCAAAAAGTAAAGGAGAAACATGTAGAAGAATATAAAATCTAGACATAAATGTCTCTCTTAAGGCCTACCACACACACACACACACACACACACACACACACACACACACACACACACACACACACACACACACACACACACACACACACACACACACACACACACACACACACAAACACACACACACACACACACACAAACAGAAGAGGTGACTTGAGCTGTGCCCTCCAGACAAGAAATATTGGCTGTGTTACAGAGTGTCTCACCACCAGACATTACTTCCATTAGTATTAGGCCGTCATGTATATTCATGAGGTGTCTGTCTTTATGCAAAGCAGTGCAGACGTCCACCAGGAATAGTCCGACACACAGGGGCATAAAGGTCTATGTTCAGTGAAGCGCATACACATACAAATATGTGCCACAGGAATGCTAATTCACCAATTAAAACAACAAACTATCTCATCAGTACCAGTCATGGAGATTTGACAATGCATAATAATGTTTGTGTCTGCTCTTTTTTTTTTTTTGGTGATAATTTAAAAGTGAAATTCATTGAACTTGTGTAATTAATAGTTTGAGTAGGATTTGAGGAGTTTGTGATCAATAATTAGATTAAAAGTCATTTTTATGTTTGACAAGGCTGCATGTATTTCATTATACTACATTAAAACATTAATATACACAATTAAAATTGTGCATATTGTTTAGCCTTTTTAATAACATTTAAAATGTAATTTACTTCTCAAACACATTTTAGGTATCATTATTACTCCAGGCTTTTGTATTGCACAATCCTACAGAAGTCCCTTCAATATGCTGACTTGCTGCTCAACAGAGACAAGGAACAGAAAATAAAAAGAAATGTTAAATATTAAGCTAAAACTAGGCTATTATTTGAATTTGATAACTTATGTAACAATATAAATGAATAAATTTACAATTTTTAATCAAGAGTAATACTTTGTTTTGTAAAAAATCTTACTAGCAGACCCCATGTTGTTCATTACAGTACAGAAATACAAGTATTTACACAGTTAGGCTTCTTTATTTTATCCACTCAATAATCAAATTAGGCAAACTATTCCAAATTCTGCATGTAAACATAGCAAACGTAATACTAAAAACTATATTTTGTGTTTCTTTTGGTTACCTGCCTTCACTTTCATGACTGGCCATAATACCAAAACAGCCAATGGCAGGGCCGGAGTGGGACTCCTTTTCAGCTCTGGAGTTTCAAGCCTTAGATCGGCCCACATCAGTTCACAAGTGATTATTATGTCTATTTCAAGGACACAGCTGCTTTAGAACTTCAAATGTTTTTCATAAATATTAGAAGATTAAAGGGTAGCTAAATCTCCGACATTATTCTTTAAAACATCACAATGTCCTTTCCTGCAGTGTTTGAATATATATTCTGTGCAAAATTCTGTATAGATATCCAGTTCTTCATAAGGGTGGTCACACAAAAAATAAATTAAAATATGTAAACCCATATAAGTAACCCACACAGTATTATATGTCTTACCACTAAAAAAAATAAATAAAAATAAAAATAATAATAAAAAAATAACTCAGCATCGTAACGCATCATGCTGACCACTGGACCACAATGGCACTGTTATGCTGGTGGGTTTGGAAGTAAAAATATCTGCAAGGCTCCTTTAACCAGAGTATTACTTTCTATTGATGGCTTAATCTTTTTCTCCTCTTTTTAGATTTCTGATCAAGTTATGTCAGATTTATTAAAGTAGTGAATCATCTGATTTTCATTGAACAGGTATAATATTCATTAATATTAAATATTCAAATTCATATATTCACTAAGGTGCTGCTGTTTGGGATCGAATGATAGTTATGTCATCATTAACCTGCAGGTTGCATTTTGTTCATGGGGCTGCAAGAAAATAAATAAAAAGAGCGGAGCTGCTGTAAAATAATGAAAAAAAAGAGTGAGGCTATGGTCAAATAAATAAATAAATGAAAAAAGTGAGACTGCTGAGAGTGCAAGCAGTTAGAGACACCGGCCCTCGTGGCCAAAAAACGGACCGGCCCACCGTGAATTCTCCCGATCCTCCCGATTAGCCAACCCGGGCCTGGCCAATGGAAGTGCTTCTGTGGTGCATGTCCTAATGCTTACAAAACAGACAGCTCACGTTTCCTTTAATAAGACACATAAACTAAAAAAACAGTACAAAAAAAACTGTATCATAACCTACCACACTTACACAAACACGCAGCAGATCCAGAAAAATGCACAGCAAGCCCAAAAACTCACCAAATATAAGACACAAACGCCCATTCATTCATTCTCCTTCAGCTTAGTCCCTTATTTACCAGGGGTCACCACAGCGAAATGAACCGCCAACTATTCCAGCATATGTTTTACACAGCGGATTCCCTTCCAGCCGCAACCCAGTATTGGGAAACACCCTTACACACTCATTCACACACACACACACACACACACACACACACACACACACACACACACACGTCTTTGGACTGTGGGGAAAACTTAAGCACCCAGACAAAACCCACGCAAACAAGAGGAGAACATGCAAACTCCAAACAGAAATGCCAACTGGCCCAGCCGGGACTCGAATAAGTGACCTTCTTGCTGTAAGGTGACAGTGCTAACCACTGAGCCACCATGCTGCCCAATTTAGATACAATATATTTTAAAACAAATTGCAAATGTTTATACAAAGTGGCATCTATTTAATATAATGTACAAATCATGCACTACAATATTACTAAATAACAAATGTCTGCATGATGTGTTTTTAATGGTGTTTTAATGTGTTTTTTTTTTTGTCCAATTTTGCCAATTTCCACCACAGCTCAGTCCTTGAATAAGAGCCTCTTTCTTCAAGTGAACAGGAAGTCCTGCAATGTGTTCCTGCAATAACTCTGTGAAATGCAGCTTGTAATCATGCCTAAAGTTGCAAGTAGGCACTTCCTGTCAAGCCTCATATCTCAGCATGGGGCTTGATGTGCTGCAGTTCTGTATATGTCTCAAAGCCCATCACAGCATGAAAAAGGCAGTCATGATCTTACCAGTCGTAGTCCATGACGGCTATGATGAGCGACACACTCTCAATGTTCTCGTTGGGAATATCAAAGACCAGAGCCTCGTTATACGTGGGATTGAGGGTATTCTTCTTTATGGATGTCTTTCTCTTTTTCAGCCTTCGACCTTCACAAACCAAAGATGCCTTTACGTATGGATCTGGAGGAGAAAATGACAATTTGTCAGTCAAACTTAAACAGCAGTAGAGTTTTGGCAACATAAACTAAATAGATAGTTCACCTCCCAAAAACTACATTTTAAAAATACAACCTTTGTAATAGGGATGCATGATATATCAGCGGCCATATCGATATCGGCTGATAAATGCTTTTTTTAATGTTACCGTTATCGATCTGATATCAAAATTAGGCCAATATCTTTAAGCTGATAGATTATGTAATTGTACAGAACTGCCTGCCTAACACTTGCGTGTGTCGAACTTGTTCAGTGCTCTATAACAAAGCTTACATCACATTGTTTATTCCTTTAAAGTCCGTCCTTCCTTTGTGTGGTATTGCTGTGCGTTAATAACTCAGTAAGTAATCACATTCTTATCATTGTAGATATGTTTGATAGAGTGTCATTGTGTATTTTGGGTTAAATCGCCTCAGGAAAGGTATTACATGTGTAAACATGATAGCAGCGATGCACACATGCTAAACAACTTGTTGGGTTGTTTGTAATCTAATATGATTATTTGGTCTTTTTTTTAAAGATTGTATTCAGTTTGATCGGCATATTTATAATGATTATAATGAGAGCATGTGATGGTTATTATCATGCACACACATAGTGACTAGTGAGCCGTCAGAACCTTCACAGCAGCAGGGGAGCTAGTCACTGAATCCAGCATAGGGGTTTACAACTATCCGCCACATTCTGTCTTTATAATATGCACTGTGTTTGTCATGAAGTCATCTGTGCTTAATGCTCAGGTGTTGTGTCAAAATCTGACTTTCGAGGACAAACCTGACTCCGCTTCGCATGCACATGTGTGATGCATCACACAACAAAAACCTTTCATTGATCGGTTTTCCCCGCAATTGACAGCAAGAACAAACATAGAAGAGTTGTCTGATTAACAAGCAGCACCTACATGTGTTAAAAGAATCGAAAATGCCAAATGGGGCGAATTTTTGTTGCATTTTTAAAAAGTAAATCATACAATCTGTATTTAGCTTTTTGCTTGTACGGTGGCTCTAACCTGTCAAAACACCTCTCAAAATGCTTTTTCGGACATCTAATATTTGTACATATATTGTAACACATTTTATTCAGGAACATTTGAGCTGGTTTCAGTTCTTCTTTCATTTTCATTTCATTTAACATATATTTATTTAACTTGTTTGCTAATTAAGTTCCATCTTGTTATTTAACCAATTATTTTTATACAACAGTCAAGTACATGTTCATTTGCTATGCGAAGAAAAGTAAATAATACATTTTTGGCATGCTGATTAATGTGAAATGGTGAATATAAGTCTATATGATCACCTTGCAATTTCGAAATTATAGCTTTTTTTGCTTTGAGTAGGCTATTCAGTTCATAAGATCAGTTCAAACGTTGGTCACACTTTATTTTGATGGTCTGTTTGTTGAATTTAAGTTACATTGCATCAACAAGCCAACTAAATCTCATTAGATAATAAGCAGACTGTTAGGTTGGGGTTAGGATTAGGATTAAGGTTAGTGTAAATTGACATGTCCTTGCAAAGATTCTTATAGTCAGCTAAGTGTCTGTTTAGCAGCAGTATCAACCAATATTAAGCAGACAGTTTACCAACACTCAAATGGACCATCAAAATAAAGTCTTATCCAAACTTTTATGAAGTTTTAGAAATAAAATCAGTCGTTCAATGTATAAAAATATAACATTTTGAAATGATTATACTTATTGGCTATAGTATATCGACTATCGTCCTCTAAATCTTAAGAGTTATCAGTTATCAATATCGGCCAAAAAATCCATATCGGTGCATCCCTACTTTATGAGGGTTTTTTTCTGTTGAACAAACACATAAAATATATATTTTGTAAAATTTTGGACACCGGTAGCTATTGAAAAGTTTTCCACAGCTTTTCAACATTCTTCAAAATATCTTCGTTTGTGTGCTCAACTGAGAGAAAATCATTCAAACCGGTCTGAAACAAACGGATATTGAGTAAATGATGAAAATTAAATTTTCGGGTAAACTATCACTTTAAAATTAATGTTAGTAATGATATCAATAACGATTATGCAAGCATCAACCATACATTAGCATCTATGTAATCATACCTGTCAGTGTGTACCAAATGTTACTTTTTCATAATGCCCTTTCATAATGATCATGTCCTTTGAGAAAATCTTTATTGCATCACTTTAAGCCTTGATGTGATAATTAAATTAGCCAACACTAATTAAAGATGTCTCTTGTTCTTACAACAGCGATGTTGATGCCTTTATGAGGCCTTCCTGTGTTGGCATTGAAATTTTTAAAGGTGTTATTTGATATTCGCAACTTTTCAGAGGTGATGCTTTGATGACCTTTAATGTTATTTCATTATTCACATGCTGGTCTTGTTACATGCAGATTATTAATGAGAAGCAGTTTCATCACGTCTCAATGTTAACAATGTCTGAGGCACTAATGAGGTATTGCTGCTAATTATGAGGGAATTAGATGAATGGCTGGGGACAATGAGCGGGACCAGACACCTGAGAAGCCCGTCAGGTCCATGGCTTTCAGATTGGTGGCCTTAATGATGGTGACGGTCAGTCGGCCAGCTGTTGGCAGGTAACACAGTGAGAAGTTCAGCTCTCCCAGGTCAGCTTTCTCCTGCAAACACAATAAGCATATGGAAAAGGCATTCTGAGTCAGGTAAATGCAATGCAAGAACATAATGAAATATAAAAAAAAAAAAAAAAAAGGTTTAAATGACTGCAACAAGTTTCAATAATCAATTTGTCCTTTTATAAAGACATAAGGATATACAGGAAGAATGTTTGTGGCATTTGATATTGATTCAAGCATTTTTCAAGGATTCCTCAGGGTTAAATTCAAAGGTAGCTCTATAGACGAAAGCTGGGCCTGCTGTTGACTATCATAGAAAATTATTTCAATTCGTCCTTGAATCTGTACATCACAATGAAAGTCGTGATTAAGTCAAAGCACATACTACAGTAGGTTATAGAATTAAACTGTGATTAACATAAAAACATTCATACATTGAATACACATTCAGCAAACTTTATAGCAAACAAACTGTTTACTGTTACAAACAAACTGTTAAAAAAAATGTAAAGTTTTTTTGTAAATGCTGGCATCCACAAAAAAATCTGGAATTAGTGAGGTTCATTCAGTTTCAATTTGGCACTCAACTTTTTTCTCTCATCCAAAGCTATGGTGTAACGCAAATTATTTACACTATTTAACAAAAAGTTCACAGCATCTCTCACCCCTCAAGCAGGCCAAAGATTATTCCTACTCCCCCAAACTCAGAATACATCTCTTGTTACTGTGGTAACACACATATAAATGGTTTAATGACCTCAAATTTGGATTAGCTCCCAAAATCTTAGAAACAGGCAATAGAAGACAAGACAAAGAATCAAACTTCCTGTAAATGGGACTTTTCTCTATCTCCATTGTGTTGTCTTATCTTTGATACTCTGAACCTTTTAATGCACACCTCATTATGACATTTTTAAACACTTATCTTATGTTTACTATCAAATCAGTCATTAGTGAATGTGATTCTATATACTTACTCATAGGTTGCTACAAAGTACTAATCTGAGTTTACACACTCAAAACTGTAAGTTCATTATACAAATGAACTCAGAAACAATTAGAGAAACTTTTCCCATTTAAAGAAGCTACAGTATGTCGTTGGCCGAAACAATATTCAGTAGGTGTGGCCTAGGTATGAGCCGGTATAAATTTCTGGCGGTACGATAATCTTGGATAAAAATATCAGCTTCACGGTATCATGGTATTGTGATTACTGCTCTGAAATAAGTTATTTTTAAAATGTCAAAACTTTGTTTTCCCATTAAACACGATATATTTTATTTTGGGAAACATTTATAACATTTTGGAACATTAAACATGTTAGGCTAAATAGTTAAAATAAATCACTGATTTCTTTACAAAACATAAACTCATTAATAAAAAACTTGCATATATAGAAGGAACGATATAACAGATAATTTTAGTGGTTTTAAAACCACTGGAAAGGTAGAGCAATCATGCAGATGCCATGTGCTTCAGCCTTCTTCTATCAAGTCAGAATCCCATAGCTGAAGCCATTGCATTGAATGTTCCCACAGCGGCTGAGACAAATGCAGGTATCATACACTTTAACTACTTTAATCAGAGGTTTAGATTAATCGTGTAGGCACCATTAAAAAGGTTTTCAAGATGGTTAAACTGATTTGTAATTGTTCATTCATTCTCCTGTTTTATTCATTTTCACTTTTGCTCCAGCCTTATGTATGTGTTCAGTTTTGTCATTATATACTTGACTCAGCTAAAAAAATAAATAAATAAATAAAAAACTTTTGTGCACACTTTACACTTTGTTGAATCTGTAATAATAACTGCTTCTATCTAAGTCACTTTAACGATCTTTAATGCTTTTGTGGCCACTAAAAATGACATTCTTACTCACTGGAAGAACGAGTTTGAATTGCAAGCTTCAGCAGCATCAAGCTATTACATATGACCAAAGTAGTAAAAGCTGCAAATTAAAAAAAAACTACTAATATTCAAACTGCTGTAACTGAGTAGTTTTTCTTAGGAATGGTAATTTACTACGTAGTTTTAAAAATGTGTACTTATACTTTCACTTGAGTACCTTTTTAGTGCAGTATTGGTACTTTTACTCCATTACTTTCCTTCCAACTGCAGTCACTACATTTTTCTTGTCTAGAGTTCTTATTCTTGAGTAGAAAAATCAGTCCTGGAACTCCTGTCCAATCAAATTGCACATAGAAAGTAAACCACATCATACTGAACAACCTCAAAACAAGGGCTCTATAGAAATGCAGCAAACTGTTTGAAAGCATTAAAAGTGTCCAAAGAGATGGCCAAAATCTTTACTCTCAATGACCCAGATGTTTAAATCAAGGGTGCCCAAACTCAGTTCTGGAGGGCCGGTGCCCTGCAAAGTTTAGTTCCAACCCCAGTTATACACACCAGAACCAGTTAATCAAGCTCTAGGTTTACTAGAAACTTCAGGGTGGTGTCGAAGAAAGTTGAAACTAAACTATGCAGGACACTGGCCTTCCACGACCGAATTTGAGCATCCCTAGTTTAGACAGTCTGAAAATTGCTGAAGAGTCTCAATCAATAACTAAATGTACAACAGAATGTAAAGTTAACACACACCAGCACAAATTGCATATAAAAGTATTAGTTTTTCACAGCATAACACTTAATACTCTTGAGTACTTTTAAAAGTACTGTTTTACTCGTAATTTGAGTAATATTTACAACAGATACTTTTATGCTGATTGAGCTACATTTTTGAGCAAGCAATGGTACTTTTACTTGAGTATGACTTTTCAGTACTCTTTTCACCACTGCATATAACTGATCCAAATATGCATAAACAATTATAACTGGTTATTATTAAATTATTCAGATTGTCCAATTAGCTAATTAGCTACAATGTTTATCACATTCCGTGTCAATAGAGTCTTGATTTTAAATGAGGATATCGTATAAAAAACTTTGTCGCATGTATTTAGACACTGGTCATCCAAGCAGCATGAAATTACTAAAAAAGGGAATCACTCCCAAAGTTCTGTTATGATCAGTGAATTTCATATTTACATCATGTTTACATGTTGGCTGTTGTAATGAGAAGATTCAAAAGCATGCAGAACATAGTAGTAAACACCAGCGGATTTGTCTGTAATTGGCTGCACGGCTCAACACTGCAAAAACACACTCTAAAAAAAAGTTCAATAAAAGATATAAGATTCTAAGATAAAATATGTTTTATTAATTATACTTAATTAAGATTCCTAATGAATTTTACAAAGTACTGTATTAATTACTGTATTGTATGTGTGGCATTCCGAATGCTTGTAAGTGCAGTATGATTTTGTGTCTGTATTTCCCATTCTCCCCATGTAACTTCTACCATTAAACTCTGTCTGTTTTTTTAAAGGATGATTATTTCTGATCAAAAAAATGTATTTACAGTTGTTGTGTTATCACTTGCATGCATTTAAAGAAACTCAGACAGACTCTCCAAGCATAAACTATACAGTGGTTTGTTTTCCCCCTTACGCTCCTTGTTGAGACTTTCATCTTTCTCTCAAGTTCTTGTTCTGCCAGACAGAATTAATCATCAGCTATGATGAAAAAAGAACAAGGGCAGCAGAGGTAAACAAAAAGAGCTGCAATATTTCATCAAAAACGCCAACCATCTGAGGTACATCTCCAAGAACTATAGGAGCTGCCAGCTTCAGGTCTGTGTCCGTACACGTGATGTGAATGCTACGTGATGTGTGAGTATTTTTTTTTTTTTGCTACACTCCGACAGCTCGAAAAATGAATTATACCTCAAGATATTTACCAGCTGAGTAGTTAAATCCACTACCGCCACCTGAGTGGCCAATTGCCTGAATCCTGTATGTAAACATTTGATCTACATGTCAGAAACACACTCAAATCCAGCATGCATCACAGAACAATCATTAAATTCCTCTTGTCAGACAGGGAAGACAGTGCCAAATCTATCTTCTTTCCTTCATTTGATCTAGCCGTGCAGCAGAAAATTTCATCTTCCTTATTTAAGCACACTACAGCTTGTGTTTGATTTGATTTATTCTCTCTGTTCTCCAAAGGTATAAACATCTTTTAGAATAACACTGCTCTACGCTCAGGATAAATATGTTTCTAAAAAATGCACCATTAAGATGCTGTGGCAAGTGCTCGTGATAAAAAAAAAGCTTGTTCGCACATCGACCTTCACTAATTTTATGTCATTTTCTCTGGAAGGACAAGCACATGCATCACTATTTCTCCTCACACCTCTACCAACATCCCCCCAAGGACACATCATCACCATCGACTTAGCATGTAATCATGCATGATTTCCAACTGTGTATGTCTTGTGAATACAAGATGAGCTTTTGAAAAAAGAAAATTAAGAGACATTGCAAGTACTAGAAATAATTCTATCATCATCTCATTATTCAATCTGTTCTTGAAAGTGAATCCCAGCATCATTTCTTGGGTGAAATTAAACAATTTGTTTAATTACATATGAGGATGGCATGGTGGCACAGTAGTTAGAACTCATAGCAAGAAGGTTGCTGGTTCTAGTCCCTGCTGGGCTAGTTGGCATTTCTGTGTGGAATTTACATGTTCTCCCCATGTTCACATGGGTTTCCTCCGGGTGATCTGGTTTCCCTCACAGTCCAAAGACATGGCGCACTATTTTAATGATCTAGGCGCAACTGTGGTCTAAAGCGCATGTCGCAAAAGCATTAAGGGAGTGTCAGAGTCCACTTTAGCTATTTTAAGGACGGTGCATGGTCTAACAGGGCTGTGCTTATTCTCTTAATGAGTTACGGGTGTGTTTTGAACATTGCGTGCATTAAACCAATCAGTCTCATTTCACATACCTTTTAAGAGTCTGTTGCGTCACATCATGGCACATTTACTATTTACATGGCAGACTTTGTAAATGTTTCAGCAGAGAGAAAACAGTTAAACAAACCATCTGCAGTGAGGATAAATAATGAGACTCCATTCGTGGATAAGGAAACGGTGTTGTACACACTCCACTGAAGATATCCATTAGGCTAAATATTTAATTT